TGAACCCGTATAAACGGGTTCAGGGTCGGTTTACCTCCACGAAAGAGACTCCGCCCTTCGGCGTAGCCTCGTTCGGGTTCCTCTCCGCCCGAAGGCAGAGAGTTCAACCGATCAGCCGGTCAGCCGGTCGCCCGACTTCGGACTGAACGGTATTTAGTCACCCCCGCACGAGGGCATCATGTGGCACAAGGCCGGTTTAACGTGGGATCTCCGAGCCCGTGAGCCGCGGCAAAAAATATACCCTTTGAACTCGTATAAACGGGTTCAGGGTCGGTTTACCTCCCCGAAAGAGACTCCGCCCTTCGGCGTAGCTTCGTTCGGGTTCCACCCCGCCCGAAGGCAGAGAGTTCAACCGATCAGTCGCTCAGCCGATCGCCCGATTTCGGGCTGAACTCCTGCTTCCTCTTGAGGCGGAGTATTTATTACGTATGGAATAGTCCATTATGTTATTATGGGTAAGGTCCCATAACATATATATATATATATATATATATATATATATATATATATATATATATATAATTATCATTTAGTAGAGCATTATTATATACGATGTAAGTGTATCCATAAAAATATAGCGAATGAAAAGAGAAATCAGTAATAATTTCTTGTGTTCTATGTATTCTAAAAACTGCTCAAGTTGAAATATTAAGTTCTATTCAGTTGTTTCCAGAACAACAAAAAGCTGGATAAAATAACTTGGTCTGTCCTATTTTTCTAACTAATTCATGTTTGCTAAACACGAACACTGACCATTGCCACTGGTGCCAACCACGCAACTCAACCACTATACAAAATTCTAATATTTATTTCTTAAAGTTTGCTTTGACTTGTGCAAGACTGCAATGAAAAGGCGTCAATTGAGAATCAAAATTATTACATATAACAATACGAGATTATAGAGACGACTGGTGTTAAGAGGGAATAAAGGGAAAGAGATAAAGAAGAATAGATATTGTGAAGAACATACAAAGAAAAAAAAGTAACGCTAAAGACATGCGTAAAGAACGAAAGGAAGGAAATGTTGGGAAGAAGATAAAGAAAAGAAAAGAAAAGAAAAGAAAAGAAAAGAAAAGAAAAAGATAAAAAAGAACGCAACCAAGAAATAAGGTAGATGCATATGTAAGCAAAAATTTTACCGCTAGTCAGTGGGGTAGGTGCGTAAAGATGGAAGAAAGATGATCTTCTCTAAAAATTGCTTAAGGCCATTTTCTCATAAACCTTTTCGTCTAGAAAGAACTTTTTTCATAATGGTTTTACTTATCATAGTAGAGTTCCTCATCATCTGAAATCATCTGAAATCTTATCCGTCATATATATATATATATATATATATATATGTGTGTGTGTGTGTGTGTGTGTGCGTATAAATTCTGAAGTAGGTATATTTTTTAATCATTTCACCCCCAAGCAAGGCGGAAATACCACTGGGACGCAGGAGGTTACAGAGAGTGAAGGTGAGAGAAAAGGCTGGGTATGGGGATAGTACCGAGGAAAGTATAAAAGCTGAACGGGGTACAAAAAGACAGAAGATGGCGATTGACGTTGCATTTAAATTTTTGAAGATTGTAGTTATCAGGGAAGCAAGGAAACGGAAGGGAGTTCCACAGGCGGGAAGTGTGAGAAAAGAAACTATTGGAGAAGTGGCGGTTACATTTAACCAATTCACCAGTAAAAGGGTGGGGGACCTAAATGCCAATCTAGTAGCACGCTTAAACCCACGTAGTCTGGGCACCCGGGAAAGAAAAGCTCGTCAGAGCAGTTACCATGAAAATATTTATAGAAAAGTCTGAAGAAATCACGTCACGTCTGTGAGTAAATATCTGAAGTCGAGAGGACACGTCAGCGTCGATTACATCGCAGATCTTTCTTTGCATTTTGTCAAAAACCTCGAGATGGACAGCAGGGGCACCAGTATTCAATGGCAACAGTATTCAATGGACGAATGGTAGATTTGTAAATGTGCAAGATAGACTCTGACGAGCAAAACCTTCTGGCACGACACTGTGACTCAACTTTCCTTGCAGTAGATGCAGCTATTGATTCGATCTAGTCGCTCCACTTCAAGTCAGCTGAAAACGTGAGGCTAAGAAGTCGCAGTGTGTTGCTCTCCATGAGTTTAGCATCGGTCGTGCTGATGGCGGGCAGGAAAGTTCATCTATGGTGGTTAAGTGAGAGAAGTTTCGGTTTGAAAACATTAAAATTTACGAGCCATCTGTGGCTTACTGGGACAGGAAGCCCCAGTTAGCCGCAGATTGGAGGTCCATTTCAAGAGTAGCGGCCAGGTTAACTTCCTCAACTCTGACGAATTTGCTATTAAGACGGGAGTAAATGGTAGTGTCTTCTGCATAAATGCCTACTTGGGAACTGATGAAATCAGCAAGATCCTTGATTAGTAGAAAAAGACGGAGATACATGTAAAAATGGTTTGGAGATTCAAGAGAGAACTCCCTAACCAGCGGGAGATTTTCGCGGATATACTCACAGGCCATGCATGTGAACATCAGAGTCATTCCTAAAAAATAAAGGAAGATAGCCAGGAAGCGAGAAATCAGAGAAGGGGATTAAAAATTTAAGATTAGTTTTGCAGAGGCCTATGATGTCCGGAAATATTTCGAAGAGGAAACATTCCTCACTGTAGAAGTTGTTACGAATACTACGAATATTAGAGAAAGAAAGGTTAAGAGGTTTAGGTGTTTTTTATTAAGCTGGTTTATTTTTATATCTCTAGTTGCTTATAGTCATGATGTGTTATTTTGGTAAGGAAATTTCGAGATTAATAGTAGCAGCCGGCCGTCTAATATAACATGTGCGAGAAGGGATTTAGCGCAGACTGCAACATAATGTAGCCTCGGGGTTGCCCCCCGGAGGTGGTTACAGGGACCCCCTTTCATGCACGATATGGCACTTCAAGAACCCCGATATTATGCGACAGTTGATCCGAGTAGCCTCTCAAGACGCTACGTAAGAGCTCCTAACTACCAGTCAGGAGCAGCCACTAGAAAAACTGTCAACTTGGTACCCTCACAATAAAGAGACCTTGCCACCATCGACACTTAACACAAAAAGACAGCACCACTATTAAGGTGTGAAAAATGGAAAGAAAGCGGGAACTTCTTCCAAAACAGGAAACAAGGAATGAGCCTCTATGCCTGTTTAAGCGAAGAGCAGATGAATATGAACCGGGTGATAGGAAGGCTTATCTACTCCTATTAAAAAAGTACTAAGTTTTAAGTTAGTTAAAGTCGAGATGTCTATCAGAAATTCAGCAAAGAGCTAAAAATAGCAGAGACCTACCTCTGAAAGAACTTTACAAGAAGACAAATAGTTTTGGGGGGGAATTCTTGTTCAGTTATAACAGAGAATGGATACACTGATAACTTACATTTGGATAGTCGACCTGCGGCCCACGGAAATTTTATACCATGCCATGTTTAACTGACATTTAGAGAGGTGGAAACAGGCAGTTGGAGGTGTCTGCCCCTAGTATCGTAGCCGCAGGGTAAAGAAAAGGAAAGAAAAATACGATGGCCGTTAAATTTTAAGATTAATTGTAGTCAAGATGATGAATGATTCAAACGTTAAATTTAACTCAAATTTAAACACGCAAATACCACGAACAACATCAGTTAGAAAAATAAAACAAAAAAAAATTTTAAATTCAGAAGAGAAGAGAGAGAAAAGTAAAGAAAACAAATTAAATGACCAGATCAAACAAGAATTAAAAATGGCAGACACATAAAATAAGCTGTCATGACTGTTCCCTACAATATATTGGTGAAACCTGCAGAAATTTAAAGACGTATCTATGAACACAAAAACGATCTTATTCATAGCAATTTATCAAACGGATTAGTCATGCGTAGAAATCTAAACAATAACACACTTATTAGAAGTGAAATTTACTTAAACGGAAAAACTTACCTTTTAAAAGTTCAAGGGTAATTCTTCCGCTGCCACTTAATTTAAAGACGATTTGATGTACGTAGTTCCTTATTTTCCGTACAATCAATTATTTTTATTTCATGGATGACAGAACAGGGGACAATTTATAAGATAAAATTAATATAGTGTAAAGATAGGAAAATAGAAATTAGAATCAGTTAAATTTCAACATTTGAAGAGTTAGAGAAACATAATAACTAATTAAGTAAAACCTATATTATGGAATCTATACGAAATTAGATCGCAATTCTCTCACGAATTCTGAGATTAAAACCCTCCAGCTCTACTTCAGATTTAACTAATTTGCATATTGATTTAAAAAAATATTTCATTAATTAACTGTCCTTCATTACTGTACTTTAATTCGAGGATTATTTTGATTTTTATAAAAAATTGTTCTGTTTAAGAATATCATCTTATATAGTGCAGAAAAATATTTGAAATTTGCATTTTACTTGGCCTTCTACAAGTTGGCATCTATTTGTATAACAAGCCAATTTATGAATGAAATGTTCATTTAAAATTTTTGTTTCAACGATTTCAAATAGTGAATATATCTTACTTTGCGAAGCGGGCGAAGCCTGCTAGTTCTTGATAATGCTGCCCTCGAATCTTACTGAAATATAAATCTCCAGCTTGAAATCTCTTCAAATAACCCCTTTCCTAAAAGCTAACATATATTTAAAAAATTTACAAATTAAAATAAAACTTTTAAATTTCAAACTTATTATTTAAATATATAATATATAAATTAATTCCTAAATAGTAAAATAATAATTACATTTAATGGGGGGGTCGCTCGTATCCGATAGATAAATAGATGATAAAAATGAGGAAAAATAAAAAGAGAAAAAGACAGGAATAGAATGATATAAAAAGAAACACTGATATAAATACAAAGTGACTTCGATTGAAATAAGTAGATAGTGAGAAAGAAAGAAATGATTCTTACCCAAAGATAAGTACAAATACATCGATAAATAAATAATGTAAGGATAAAAGTAGAAAATACGAACATAATACACTTGTAGTGACAGCAACCAATAAATTACTAAATGACACCGAACTCTTATTAGAAGTCTGTGTAGTAGTCTGTGACTATCAAAATAATTAATAAGTAACAATAAAAAACGAACTTGAAAGATAAGCAATAAAAATACATTAGAGTAAAGATAAGAATTATAGTTAACAATAATCAAAGGAAAAGTTAGATTATTAAAAAAGCGAAATAAAATATAGAATATTCCCATAATGCATTTGAACATGTGTTTTACCGCCAAAAGAAATAAAAATCGAAATTTTTTTTTTCTTGGATTTCGTAAACAGACAATACTGCCTTCGATAAAATATGTTGCCAGCTACAGATAAGCAAACATTTCTGTATTTTTGTACTAACCCAAATTATATACATATTTATTCTTTGAAACATTTCTTTGGAGTGTATTACTAAGATAGAAAAGAATGACTCTTACTTATTGTGGATAAAAAAAAAAGAAGAAATTACTAGCGAAACATTTATTTCTTTAATTCCTCATTGTAAAGAAACACTTAAATACTTCAAATGTTTCTGAAGTATATCAAATTATCTATGCCTTAGAATGTTACTTATTAGAGTATGACTTGGCATGTTGAAATGTATAATAAATCAATTTGTCGTTTTTCCTATACCTATAAAAACAGTTTCTCAATTGTATTTTATTGTACCTCATATATAATTTTACTTATAATATTACAATCCTGTTGTGGTCCAGTGATGCTCTTTTCACACACCCCTCCCCCAAAATATAAAACTAACATTCAGACAAGGCCAACGCATCACCGAGCTCCACAGTAGACTCATCGACATGCAGAAAACGGTTAAAAATAATGTAATCGTTAACGATAGGAAAATAGGAAACCAACTCTCAATCATATCACTTCTGAACACGGCCAAAAGGTGCTGATTGTGTTCGGAAATTAAAAAAATTCTTATTGCTATAGATGAAAAAAATCTGTATATTAAATTAAACAAGAAAACATCTCTGATCATGGCTAACAGGTAAGTCGAAAGCACTCGGACCCACTGTACTGAGGAACACGTATTTTATTGAATGATATCTGGCGCTTGATTCCAGGTAAGTTGGGTATGCTGAATGCGAATTTCAACTCCTGATTCTTGTCAAGCGCCGACGCGCTATTTTCCAGGTTTTTCAAATTAGGACTAACAAAATTAAGTTATATATTAAAATTGTTTTTCAAGTTTAATGAATACAAGCAGTTCAAACTACAGGAAAATTGCGTTATAAAAAAAGAAATTGTTTAAAATAAAAAATAAAAATAGATATGAAACTTTCATTATGGCAAAAATATTCTTTTACAAGACTTTCTAGCGTATTTCCTTGTTGACGGCAGGTATCTAACAAAATTAAGTTATGTGTTAAAAATGTTTTTCAAGTTTCATGAATAGAAGCAGTTCAAACTACAGTAAAATTGCGTTATAAAAATATAAAATTGCTTAAAATAAAAAAACAAACAGATATGAAGCTTTCACTATGGCAAAAATATTCTTTTAGAAGACTTTCTAGCTTATTTCCTTGTTGACGGCAGATCTCTCTATTCAAGCACCGTCAGTAATCAGCCATCAGGTGGTAATCCCACCGGCCTTGTTACCGTCCGTCCACAATTTTGATATCTTAGTGGAATTTCTACCCTTATTCGTCACTTATATCACCTAAGTTACTTGGAAATTGGTCAAGATGGCCATTTAAAACATGTATTTTTACGCTCATATTGCAACCTTACTCTATGTAGTCCCTTACAATTTTTTTACGATTTCTTTGGAGTTATCTGCCTAAATTTTTATCTATCAAGTTCACGAATGAGAACTAGGCATTTTTTTCCGCATTCATTCATGACATTAGGAAAATTGCCATCTTTAATTAATATTCTGATATGTGGACCATCAAAAATTCTTTTCTTTTAATTTTGTCGGTATCGAGTCGTAGAGATTACCATTATGCAACAACACACACTTAAGACTTCTTTTCTGTTTAAAAATAAACACTAATCATATGCACCGTAAGACTCATCCTCCATCTTTAATAAATCAGGTATGTGTCAGCAAAAAACTAACCTATTATATGTTCTAAAATATTTACGAAGTTCTTCTCTTTTTCTGTAAAATAAAATATAGCGATTTTCTAAGCCCGGCTTAGATGTGTCACAAGGCCGAAAGCATGGGGTACCCAGTTAGGATTGAACTCACTACTCAGTCGTAATAGATCTAGCAAGACAAGCTTTCTAACCATTACACCACGTCGAGGTGCCCCTGTAAACTAAAATATATATGCTTGAAGTAAGCAAGTTTTTCTCTTTAAGTTTTGAAGATAAGATTTCCGCAGGCTTTTTTAACAAATTTACATCCTTTAAAAATTATCATTCAACTCGATCCGGTCAAATTTTTGTTGATAGTTTTGATTTTCAAATACGCTGGGTTCAAAATCAGTATCTGACTCCTCAGAGTGAATAACAATATTTTCAGGAACATCTTCAACTAATTCTTGAGTTGGCAGACTCTTAAATCTTTGAATGGGGATCTCATTTGAATACAGCACAGATCGTATAGCGGTGTTAAAATTTGGGTGACTCGATATAATTTTTCTTAGTGAAGCCCGAAGTCTTGACAAAGGAAAAGTAGCAATCGGTTTCGCGGTTTGTAGACTCAATTGCCACAATTGATATGGAAAAAAAATTATAACGCGTTAACAAAAACGACGATTTCCAAATTCTCATTTTGCTCCTCAGTGAATTTAAACAGTTTTTATACAGTCTATGTCAAGAAAAGAAATCACTTGTGCAAATGCAAGAAAAATATCATAAAAAGCTTAATCGCAGCACCTTCTCATTCGTCGTCAATGAAACAAACTTTGAGTCAGTATTCCTCATACCTAAACAAGGACACAAGTCAATATAAACATATGTCCGCAAGTCCTTCATTTTTTAAATTATTAAGTTTAAAGAAAGTTTACAATAGATGGCGTTGTGTTCTCATATATACTAAGTTAAATTTGTCATTCATGTACATTTGTGGCTAGTCTGTCTTCAACGTTTAACGTGTGTAGTTGAGAGTCAACTGAGGAGTATCCCGTTCAACAATGGTAGGACATTCATCTCGTGATCAGGCACATATGTTTTTTTACATACCACCGCGTGAATGGTTATGGAGGCCAGGCTGTGTCAGACTGCGTTTCGAGACCAAAGGCAGCCGATTCATCCAAACTTTGCTCTTATTTATCGTCGCGTTGCTGAGACAGGATCCGTGGCACCACAAATTATGGATAGAGGAAGACCAAGATCCTCTCGTGCGCCTGATCACGAAGAACACATTCTACAGACTGTCGGGTACAATCCAAGTATCAGCACACGTTAAGTGACCCTAGAATGCCGTGCATCTCGTAGTACCGCATAGAGGGTATTTCAAAAGCAGTTCATGTATCCGTACCATTTGTAACGTGTGCAGTGTCTTTCGCCCTCTGATCCCTCACCACAGGAGAACATTTGCCGATAGTTTATTGCACAGTCTTGTTTACGGATGAGGCAATATTTGGAAGGAATGAAATAACAAATTTACAAAACCAACAATTATGGTCGGATCGGAATTCCCATTGTACAATACAGACTAGACACCAGCATCAGTTTAGGATTAAAGTGTGTAGGTTAGGTTCATATGTTCTCCAATCACGTCTTACAAGAGCTGTCTACAGGGACTTTATTTCGAACACACTTCCAGACCTGCTAGAGGATGTACCCCTGCTAATACGAAGACGTATATGGTTTATACATGATGGGGCTCCAGTCACATGCTTCGCAATGCAATGGCTGACATCTACCAAGAAAGATGGATAGGCAAGGGAAGAACTGGTTCCATGCTCTACATCTTCCTCCGAACTCAATACTTGGTACTTTTATCTGTGGGACCACCGATAATAACTGGTTAATGCAGCAGACATTAATAATGCAGCGTGTTGATGAAGCAAGGGGTTACAGAAAAGTGGGAGCGTGCTGATGCACGCAAGGGGTTACAGAAAGTGGGAGCAATAGTAAAGAGACGTGAAAGCGGAAAGGATGGAGAGAAGGTCAGTCGATTGACACCGCATTTGAATAGTTGGCGATAAGAGCTATCAGGGAAGCAAGTAAGAGGAAGGGAGTTCCACAGATGGGAAGTGAGAGACATGAAGTTATTGGAGTAGAAGAGACGTTTATATTTAACCGCCTCGACAGTGAAAGGGTGCGACTGAGATGCAGACCTATTGACACTTTTGAATTCATGCAATTTGGGAACTAGCGAAAGTAGCTCATCGGAGCAGCTACCGTGAAAGTATTTGTAGAAAAGACAGAGGGAGTCAACGGCACGTCTGTGAGAGAGCGACTGTAAACGAGATGACAGATCAGGGCCAACCAGATTTCATATCTGTCTCTGGATTTTGTCGAGGGCCATAAGACGAACAGCGGGGGCTCCAGACCATATATGACAGTAATATTCCATGCAAGGGCGAATGGGTGATTTATAGATTTGAAGGATGGACTCGTGCGAGAAAAAAAAACTTTCTGGCGTGACATAGAGAACCAACTTTCCTTGCGGTAGATGAAGTTATTGATTCAATGTAATTGTTCCATCTCAGATCAGCGGACAGTGTGAGACCAAGCAGTCGCAAAAAGGTTCTCTCGTCGAGTTGAGCATCAGACATTCTAATGGAAGGCAGGAAGGTTCCTGGGGTGGGGTAATTGAGAGCAGTTATTTATATATATATATATATATATATATATATATATATATATATATATATGGTCAAACATTAATATACCATGGTTATAATTTATTACATTTTGTCTTTTTTGCATCTCGCAAATTTGGCACCAAAGATTATTGGCGTATCTGCAAGAGCGTACTGAACAATTGCACACTCTCTATACCTCCTTTGTTTAACCAGTTCGAAGTCCTGACCTCTTCTGCCGACAAGGCTGAATATTTTGCTCTGTAATTTTCATTCAACTCAACGCTCGACTCTTCCGGTGTACCCATACCCGACTTCCCTCTTAGAACTGGGGCCCTATTCAGTGGGTTACACATAACCCCGTCTTTGGTATTGGGCATTATCTCCAATTTAGACCCAGACAAGGCTAGTGGTGGAGATGGTATACCAGCCATTGTCTTGAAGAAAGGCGCGCCTGAAATGGCGCCCGCCCTCTCGAAACTATATAACTACTGCCACAAGGAATCTTGTTTTCCTGGCTGCTGGAAGTCCTCTTCGATTGTTCCTGTCTTCAAGTACTCTGGCAACCCCTCTGACCCTTCTAATTACCGTCCTATCAGTCTCCTACCGCTCTTTGGCAAAGTCTTCGAAGCCCTAATCAATGCCGAAGTGGTTAACCACCTTACATCGCATGATCTGCTCTCAGACAAGCAATATGGCTTCCGCTTTGCCCGATCTACAGCTGATGTGCTTACGGCCATCACTGAAACTGTCTACTAAGCTCTTCAAAATAACGGGAAGCTCGTGCCGTGGCCCTAGACATCTCCAAAGCATTTGATAGGGTTTGGCATGCCGGCCTTCTTCGCAAGCTCTAGGGTTATGGTATTGCAGGTCGATTGTTTGACCTAATACAATCATTCCTGTCAAACCGTGAATTGAAGGTCATTCTCAACGGATTCTCCTCCAGTTCCTATCCCACGAACGCAGGTGTTCCTCAAGGCTCCATCCTAGGCCCCACACTATTCCTTATCTACATAAATGACCTTCCTGGCGCCATAAATTACCAAGTTGGCATCTACGCGGATGACACCACAATTTGCTCCTGCCTCAAAAACAAATCTTTTGTTGCTGACAAAACTAACCTGGCCGTGAATCTCGAAAAGAACCTCCAATCGGTTGTGAACTGGGGCAGGAATTGGCTGGTCAACTTTAATGCCTCAAAAACAAAACTACTCTCTATTAATCACCACAGAGATCCTTGCCCTCCATTAGAATGTCTGACACTCAACTTCTCGAGAGCACCTCTCTGCGGCTGCTCGGTCTCACGTTGACTGCTGACCTGAGATGCAACAATTACATTGAGTCAATTGCTTCGACCACCGCAAGGAAAGTTGGCTCCCTGTTCCGCGCCAGGAAATTTTTCTCCCCGGAATTGATCCTCTAGATCTACAGATAAACAATTCACCCTTGCATGGAGTATTGCTGCCATATATAGCCTGGAGCCCCTTCTGTTTGACTCGGGGTTCTTGATAGGCTCCAGAGGCGGATATGCAATATAATTGGCCCTGCTCTTACAAATACTTTCATGGTAATTGCTCCGAGGCGCCGCATTCGTTGGTTCACACACTTCATGAATTCAAGCACCCTACGAGGCTGGCATCCCGCTCTCACCCTTTCACTGTCAAAACTATTAAATGTAGCCGTCTCTTCTACTCCAATAGCTTCATATCTCGCACCGCTCGCCTGTGGAACTTCCTTCCCTATTCCTCTTTCCCTCAGAGCTATAATCTCCAACAATTCAAATGCAATGTCAATTGACATCTCCAGTTGTCTTGATCTATCCACTATCCTCATCCTTTCCTCTATCGCTTCTATCTGATCTTGCTCCAAATCTTCTGTAACCCCTTGCGTCCTAGTGGCTTCCCGCCTTGCTTGGGGTGAAACGCTTAATATATATATATATATATATATATATATATATATATATTCTTAAAAAATAGTTTTGTTTTTTTTTAATTCGAATGTTTGTGAAATAACCTGAAAGCAAAAATCTCAGAATTCGTCCTATCCCAGTGATACAATCAGACGCACCCTGAAAACGAATAAAAAACGTATTGTAAGTCAGAAGCAGAGTCGATTTCTTTGCAGAATTACGAAAACTTCTCCAAAAAAGAAAAACAAATTATCAAAATGAGGGAGAAACATAAAAAGAATTGTGTTTCGACAGTCACAGTCATTTTTCAATTACGGAACTAAAAATTATAAATACGTTGAACCTATTCAGTCTTCTCGGTGAATGGACGAAATGTCGGTTCCAGGCGAATGCAGACGACAGTCTGTCTGCCAGTTCTTTGATTTCAGCTTTAGATAATGTCCCGGTGAGGAAATTTAGGATGAAAACTAATAGCACCGGTGCGAGTTAGGTGGGTTACATTTCAAAATTAAAATGCATGCCTCTCGTTTCCCAGTGGCGATATAAAGTTACACTTAGATATGCATCAACAGATACTTAATAATATTAAAAATGCGCCCATGGGAATTTCTATTTCGGCTTATCAGGTAAGAAAGTTGGAACTTCAAGTGAAAAGATATCTGGACGTTTACAGTCAGATCTCCAATAGTGTACGGAAAGAGAGAGAGAGAGAGAGAGAGAGAGAGAGAGAGGGTGAGAGAGAGGGGGTGAGAGAGGGGAGGGAGAGAGAGAGAAAGTGATTGATACTTAAACTGACATAGACATAAAATGACATAGATAGATAGATAGATAGATGCAAAGAAGGTTATTAACAACGATAATCCCCCGAAAAGGGGCTGGATTTTACAACGTCATGAATGACGTCACTCTAAAACTCAAAATGAGTTCACTCATTCAAATAAATCAGTGTATAATAAAGAGACCTAATTATGTATAAGTGTTGATATATTTATTATATAATTCATGGTCAGGCCATCGACGATAAAACTGGTCCCCCCACCAGTCTTTTCCGGTTAGGAACGTTTGCTAAGCACTCAGCAGGATTAAAAACAACACCAATCAAAGGGCTGATGAACCTTCTTATAGGATCAACGTCTATCTAGCACTACGAGGAGACAGGGATCCTTAGCTGTGTATGCAGCCGTTGCGGTGATGATACAACATATCTGAGTGAAGGGCTTCCTTGAATGAATTCAACAGCCAGGCGTGGAGGCTTTCTGCGATGAAATAAGTGACGCAATGTTCGTGACCAAAGCGAGCATTGGCGGACATCAGTTATGGTTTGGCCAAGAGAGGGATGGGCTTCGCCAGGCCTATTTGCCCACTACATCCAACACTTGAATGGATACCTCACTGGCTTTCAGCTCAGATATAGGGAGGGAACTGTTCAGGTGTTCGGTTGCGCAGCAACCCTAAGACCGCACTCAGACATTGAATTGATGATGATATTTGTAAATTTATCAAAAATAACTTCCATGGCCTTCAAAATACACTATACCTCCTAATTGTATATATATATCCCTTGCCCAATAGCACATATAATAAAAAAGCTTAGGAACCTCGAGGTGGTATAATGGTTAGCAAGTTTGTCTCGCTAAAACAATTACGACTGAGTAGTGAGTTCGATTCTCACTGGGTACGCCCCTAATTTCGGCCTTGTATCACATCCAAGCTATGCTTGGAAAATCACTATATGGGCACCTCGAGGCAGTGTAATGGTTAGCAAGCTTGTCTCGCTAGAACAATTACGACTGAGTAGTGAGTTCGATCCTCACTGAGTGCCCCATACTTTCGGCCTTGTGCCACATCCAAGTTACGCTTGGAAAATGACTATTTGGGCACCTCGGTGTGGTGTAATGGTTAGCAAGCTTGTCTCACGAGAACAATTGCGACTGAATAGTGAGTTCGATCCTCACTGGATGTCCCGTACTTTCGGCCTTGTGCCACATCTAAGCTACGCTTGGAAAATCACTATAATAAAAAAAGCCTTTGCCAGATTTCGTTTTTTTTTTCTTTTGTCTCTTGATCTTTCTTGTTTGCCTGTTTTGCGTCTGCCTCAGAAGATGTCTTTCCTTCTTGCTATCAAATTTTCTCAAGAACTATGGATTTTTCTCAAGAGTAAATATCCCCCCCACACACACATACACACTTTGAAAGTCTATTTTTAAAAACAGTTTAAAAGACACCCGTTTTTAGGGGAATTACAAAGAGAGAAATAGGGAGTGAAGAGAAACAAGAAGTTTAAAGAGAACATATCAACGGGGGAAGAAAATGGAAACGGAGAAGCATTATTGAGAAAAGCGAAGGCAAAGGAGGAAAAGTGTAGGAGGAGGAAGGAAACTGAGGAGGAGAAAGAGTAAGAGGAACAAAATCTAAATGGAAAATAAAGGAGAGGAGAATAACTGTAGTAGGCGGAGGTTAAGGAAAAAGAGAAAAGTTTCGGAGAGGCAAAGTTCAAAGAACAATTGAGAATGGAGAATAAAGAGGAAAGTATAGATGAGAGCCAGCTCAAAGGGTATGTGAAGGGATAATACAAAGAATAAATGGGGGAAGAGAATAGAGAAGAGGAGTAACTGTAGGAGAAGGAAAGGAAAGGCGAATAGGAAAATGTTGAAGAAAGACAAATCAAAAAACACGTAAATGAGTTGAGGAAAGAGTAATGACTGTAGAAGAGAAATATGAGTAACTGAGAAGAAGAAGAAGAAGAAGAAGAAGATGATAAAGAAGAAGAAGAAATGAGTTGAGGGAAGAGTAATGACTGTAGAAGAGGAATATGAGTAACTGTGAAGAAGAAGAAGAAGGAGAAGAAGAAGAAGAAATGAGTTGAGGGAAGAGTAATGACTGTAGAAGAGGAATATGAGTAACTGTGAAGAAGAAGAAGAAGAAATGAGTTGAGGGAAGAGTAATGACTGTAGAAGAGGAATATGAGTAACTGTGAAGAAGAAGAAGATAAAGAAGAAGAAGAAATGAGTTGAGGGAAGAGTAATGACTGTAGAAGAGGAATATGAGTAACTGTGAAGAAGAAGAAGAAGAAGAAGAAGAAGAAGAAGAAGAAGAAATGAGTTGAGGGAAGAGTAATGACTGTAGAAGAGGAATATGAGTAACTGTGAAGAAGAAGAAGAAGAAGAGTTGAGGGAAGAGTAATGACTGTGGAAGAGGAATATGAGTAACTGTGAAGAAGAAGAAGACGAAGAAGAAGAAGAAGAAGAAGAAGAAGATAAAGAAGAAGAAGAAGGAATAAGTTGAGGGAAGAGTAATGACTGTAGAAGAGGTATATGAGTAACTGTGAAGAAGAAGAAAAAGAACAAGAAGTAGAAGAAATGAGTTGAGGGAAGAGTAATGACTGTAGAA